AAAAGCAGCTGAAAAGGCGCAAAGACAAAGGCAAGGAGAAGGAAAAGGGGAAAGAACCGAAGAGAGGTAAGAAAAGGAAGCACAGTCATTCAGTTCGGCCAAATAATGACGAAGGAACTCACAAGCAAGCTCAGTACTATGACAGCTATAGCGAGCAGTTCTTCAAATAATATAATTCCTTCAGTTGTTCTATCTGATTCCTTCCTTATTCCCAGGGTTCATGCCGGCCGGTTAACTGCGCCAGACCTTCGTTCCGACTTAGGAAAAGATGTGGTCAACAACTTGGAGCTTAATGCGCTGTGGAAGTGTTATGCGGAGATGCAAGTGCGGTCTGCAACCATGCTTCGAAGATTAATTATGGACCCTATAAATGAGTTAAAAAATGTCTAGAAGGCATACTCGGCGTCCCAACAATCTTTGTCTGATAGTAAGGAAGCTCAATTAAGTCTGACCGAGACCATGCAGTCATTGGAAGCCGAGGTTGTTCAATATAAAGAGCATTATCGCATAACCGAAAGTTGGCTTCAGACGGCCGAGCATGCTTTGAGAGCTAAGCAAGAGGAGATGGACGAGGCGCTGAGGGTGAAGACTTCAGAGATGGAGGCGGCTTTAAAAATAAAGTCCTTGGAGATTGAGGCCTTAAAAACCCAATCTGCTGAACTGGAGGCGGCCTTGGCTATTGAAAAGCAAAAAGCGGAGGCTGACCTGAAAGCTTTTGCCGACAAGTGTTTGGAGCAAGTTGCTTTTGAACATGAGTCGGGCTTTAATAAGGCAGTTCGCCAATGTTATGGGTTTTGCCAAGTGCCAGCTGACTTTCAATTTGACCTCACCAAGGACTTTTTTTGTAGTAGGTTTTTATCGTATGATGAGGTTGATGAGGATGTTGAACCTGACGCCGAAGCCCCTCCCCGACTTGATGCTAAAAATACATCTGGTCGCGAAGCCCCTGGTGCTAGAACTCCTTACCTTAACGTCACCAGTCCAAATGCAGGAGAAGAGGGGAATTAATAGTTTTTTTTTTTTAATTTTCTTTTGCATTTATGGGCCGATAGTGCCCAAATTTTGTAATCTTTTTGACAATGAAATAGAAGTTTTAATTCCTCCTCGTTCCAAATTTTCTTTACCGAAGATGTTTCTGTTTCATTTCTTGGCCAAATAAGGGTACATGTGACGGTATTGATGAATTCATTCTTAGTCATAGGTAATTGATTCATCCTTAGCCGAGTACTTGAGAATTAATTTTAATGATTCATCCTAGACCGAGTAGGGGTACTCGAGAGGGAATTCGTTCTTAGTCATAGGTAATTGATTCATCCTTAGCCGAGTACTTGAGAATTAATTTTAATGATTCATCCTAGACCGAGTAGGGGTACTCGAGAGGGAATTCATTCTTAGTCATAGGTAATTGATTCATCCTTAGCCGAGTACTTGAGAATTAATTTTAATGATTCATCCTAGACCGAGTAGGGGTACTCGAGAGGGAATTAACTCAACCTTAAGCAAGTAGAAATACTTGGGAGGGAATTTTAATAGATTCATCCTTAGCCGAGTAGGGGTACTTGGGAGGGAATTGACTCAACCTTAACCAAGTAGAAATACTTGAGAGAGAATTTTAACAGATTCATCCTTGACCGAGTAGGGGTACCTGAGAGGGAATTAGTTATTTCAGATGAAGTGCTTGAAAGAAATGCTAATTCACAAAAAATCGTATAGCTGAGAAGAAGTATTTTATTGATGAGGTGCCTCATTAAAAACCTTCATAGAAAAACTCCTTTTCACTTTCTTTTAAGAGGACAAAACCTAGGGGAGGAAAAGAGTACACCGATTACAAATTACAAACTTTTAACTGTAATAATGCTTCAAGTGTGTAACATTCCAAGTTCTCGGTATTAGTTTTCCGTCCAACGTTTCCAACTTGTATGCTCCATTGTCTAATCTTGCCGCTACCCTAAAGGGGCCTTCCCAGTTAGTTGCCAACTTCCCTTCTCGCCAATCCCTGCGTGCATCTCTGGTTACTCGCCATACTAAGTCATTTTCATAAAATTATCGTGGATTAATTTTGGAGTTAAATTTTCTAGCCATCATTCTTCTGCTAGCCTCGGTCATACTAGCTGCTTGGTCACGCATCTCATCTATTAAGTCCAGGTTGACGGTCAGAGCCTCCTCATTAGCCGATTCCTCAAAATTCTCCCTCTGAAATGAAGGTTCTTCAATTTTGACTAGCACCATGGCATCAGTACCATAGGTAAGTCGAAAAGGAGTTTCCTTTGTTGTGGTTTGCGGCATGCACCGATAAGCCCATAGCACTTCGGGCAGCTTCTCTGCCTATTCTCCTTTTGCCGAACCCAATCTTCTTTTTAATTCTTGCAAAATTAATTTGTTGGCGGCCTTAGCTTGACCATTAGTCTGAGGGTGCTCTACAGACGTAATCCTGTGCTTGATATGAAGCCCTTCCAAAAATTTATTGAATCGCCGATCTATGAATTGCAATTCGTTGTCTGTTATTAATGCATGAGGGAGACCGAAACGTGTGATGATGTTTTTCCAGGTGAATTTCTGTACATTATTGGCCGTGATGGTGGCAAGGGGTTCGGCTTCAATCCATTTGGTAAAGTAATCCACAACGACATTTAGGAATTTACACTGCCCTTTTGTTAGGGAAAAAGGACCGAGGAGGTCCATATGCCAAATGACGAAGGGCCAAGGAGAGCTAATAGGGCGGAGGGTGTCGGCATGCTGATGTAATTGTGGATTTTGTTGTTGACAGGGGATACATTTCTTTACAAACATATGACAATCTTGGGAGAGTGTTGGCCAATAGTACCTAGCTCTAAGTATTTTTGCCGCCATGGTTCGTCCACCCGAATGGGTACCACAGATTCCTTCGTGAATCTCCCTCATGACATAGTTTGCCTGGTTGTCGTCAAGGCATTTAAGCATAGGTGTTGAAATCCTTCTTCTGTACAAGTCTTTGCCGAGGAAGAGGTATTTAGCTGCATGCATTCTTATTTTCTTGACTGAGTCTGAATTATTTGGCAGACTACCATTAGTAAGGTATTGGATAATGGGGGTCATCCAATTGTGAGGCACATTTTCTATGTCCATGCACTCTTGTGTGGTGATACTGGGTTGGAGGATTTCTTGATGAATCATGCTTTGTAATTGCCCAAGTTTCCTTTGACTAACCAGCCTAGCAAGCCTATCGGCTCGTTCGTTCATGTTTCTTGGTATATGCCGGATACATATCTCATCAAATTCAACTTTTATTTTCTTAAATTCTTGATAATATTGGAGCATAACCGAGTCCTTAACCTGATATATATCATTAACCTGTTCGGTCACAATTTTTGAGTCACTCTAGCCAGTAATACGTTTAATTCCCATCTCCTTTGCTAATCTAAGACCGGCAAGTAAGGCTTCATACTCGGCTTGATTATTGGACGCCGTGAATCCGAAACGAATAGATTGTTCGATAGTGACAGTGTTCGTTCCTTCCAATATAACTCTTGCTCCACTGCCTAGTCGGTTTGTGGATCTGTCAATGTGTAGATTCCACAACTGAAGTGGCTTGTTCGTGAGCTGTGAATTCATTAACAAAGTCCGCTAACACCTGAGCTTTAAGAGGGTGTCTGTTTTTAAAGTGGATATCAAATTGTGAGAGTTCAATTGTCCATGCAACCAACCGACCAACTAACTCCGATTTTCTCAAAATTTTGGCCACCGGACAATTTGTGCGCACAACCATCCGATGGCTTTGGAAATAATGTTTTAACCGACGAGCTGTATGGAGTAAGGCCAGTACTACTTTCTCCATCAGCTGGTAACGGGATTTAGGACCTTGGAGTGTTCGGCTGATGAAATATACAGGAGCCGGTTCAGGTATTTCTTGAAGTAAAACTGAACTGATGGCGTTATCTGATACAGCCAAATAAACAATCATGTCCTGATCGGGTTTAGGTTTTGTCAACACAGGCGGCGCTGCGAGCATATGCTTGTATTGGATGAAGGCGACCTCACATTCGTTGGACCAAACGAATTTTTGAGATTTCTTTAATAACTCAATAAAAGGCCGAGACCTTTCTACCATTATTGGCAAGAATCTAGCGAGGGCTGCAATCCGTCCGGCCAGTCGCTGAACCTCCTTTACATTCTGAGGGCTGGCCATTTCGATGATGGTGTGGCATTTGTCCTGGATGCCTCTTTCAGATAACATAAATCCCAAAAACTTAGCCCCAGCTACGCCAAATGTGCACTTCTCGGGGTTGAACCTCATACCGTACTTCTTGGCTTCCCCGAATACCTCTTCCAAATGGGCAAGATGTTGCTCAAATGCGAGGGATTTAATTATCATGTCATCCACATACACCTCCATGCATTTACCCACTTGTTTCTCGAAAATTTTATTCATGAGTCTCTGGTATGTCGCCCCTGCATTCTTCAAACCGAATGGCATCACTCGGTAGCAAAAATTGGCTGAGTTCGTGATGAATGCCATTTTTTCCTCATCTGGGGGATACATTCGTATTTGATTATATCCAGAATAAGCATCCAAAAAACTTAATATTTTGTGACCGGCTGCACCATCTACCAAAGTATCAATGTTTGGTAGGGGGTATGCGTCCTTTGGGCATGCTTTGTTAAAGTCTGTGAAGTCTGTGCACACGCCATTTGTCATTAGCTTTTTTAACCATGACCACGTTAGCTAACCAAGTCGAATATTTGACTTCTCGTATGAAGCCAGCCTATAGAAGCTTACTAGTTTCTTCTTCTACTGCTTTTGCTCTATCACCGCCCATCTTCCTTTTCTTCTGAGCTATCGGTTTAGCCCCCTTATAGACTAATAAATGATGACATAAAAATGTCGGGTCGATGCCAGGCATGTCTGAGGCCGACCAAGCAAATAAATCGACGTTATTCTGCAAAATTTCTTGAAAAAGTTGCTTTTCTTGTACAGCCAAACCGACCCCTAAATAAGTAACTTGTTCAGGCTTTGATCTAAGTTAGAAAGGCTGCTTGTTTTCACTAGGCTCAACCCGATACCCCTCATCCATTCTAGGATCAAGTTCAACATCCAATTCCTCTCCGAACCGAGGGGATACAATATTGACATCTCGGTTACTCCCATGGAAAGGTTTAAGACGTAGGCTTGCAAAGTAGCATTCTCTAGCTGTCTTCTGATCAGCGTGGACTGTAATGATTCGGCCTCTTTCAGATGGAAACTTCATAGCCAAGTGCGGAGTAGATACTATGGCCTTCAACTTGTTTAGGGATGGTCTGCCAAGTAGGATATTATACGAGGTATTTGCATGCACTACCAGATACGTGACCTTGATGCGCTTTCCTTCATGCTCTGATCCAAATGAGGTGTAAAGGTCGATACACCCACGCGTCTTTACCCGCTCCCCTGAAAAATCGACTAAGGGTTCTCGGTATTCTTTAAGTTTCTCTTCTGGTATTCCCAGTTGTTTGATAGTATTCCAGTAGAGTATGTCAGCAGAACTTCCCTAATCAATGAGTGTTTTCCGGACTGTGCAGTTGAGAATGTCCACATTGATCACCATGGGGTCATCTTGTACAGGATCCACTCCTTGAAAGTCTTCATCAGTAAATGTAATAGGGGGGATCCGAATCCCACTTCCAAGTGAGATATTATTGATTGATCTGACTTGTCTCAAGTGTCTCTTTCTGGCTGAATGGGTATGTCCTCCCCCGGCAAACCCTCCAGCTATGGTATTAATGACCCTTTTAGGATACTTTTCACGTTCATCATATCGTCTAGTTGGAGGTTCCCGGGACCTACTCCTCTGTCGTTCATGTCTATTGTCATATCTCCTTGATGACTCAAGGTTACGGTCCCTTCTTCTGTTAGATTGACCGACAAGACTTGTCTGCACAAAATCTTTTAGATGTCCTTCCTTGATTAATTCTTCAATCTTATCTTTCAGCGTTGTGCACTCTTCGGTGGTGTGACCCCTGTTTTGATGATAGCGGCAAGCCTTGCTTTTATCTGCCTGAGAGGGAGTGTTGGCACGTCTAGGCATTCTCAATATTTTTGTGGCCAGTGCCTAGTCAAGTACTCTGGACCGATTGGTATTGAGCGTAGTGTAGAAGGATATTTAGGTCCCCTAGTCGACCTTTCAAACTCATTTCTTCTCTCCTTATTTTCCTGCCTAGCCTTGAAAGTTTCTCTCCTATCTATATTTTTTGAATTGGACCCTTGGTCCATCCGCACCTGGTTTCGATATTCAGACAATTCTTCCATCTGCATATACTTTGCAGCTTGACTTCTTAACTCGTCTAGGTCGACAGGTGGTTTTTTGCAGATGCTATTGACAAAAGGTCCTAGCTTTAGGGTCGTTGTGAGGTGGTGCATAGCCACTGCTAGTTCCAAATTATGAATCGACAGGGTCACTTTGCCAAAGCGTTCCATGAATGCTCTAAGTGACTCTTCCTTTTCTTGGCGAATATTGACCAGCGCCAGGGATGTTAAGGGATGAGGTCGGCTTGTGGCAAACTGTAAGTTGAACCGTCTTGCGAGTGTTGCAAAAGAGTCGATAGATAAGGGGGGAGTCAGGTGAACCAACTGAGTGCAGGCCCTCGAAGTGAGGTGGAAAAAATCCTACACCATAAGGAATCATTCTCGGTGTACAAACTGACTTGAGTTGTAAAGACATCCAGATGTTCCCTAGGATCAGATGTGTCATCATACTTATCTATTGTTAGACCTCTCCAATTATCAGGCAGCTTGGCCTCCAGGATGTGGTGAACGAATGAGCTTCGGCTCGCGAGATCATCTCGGTCATTTTTGGCTTCAGATTGATAAACTTACTTTGATTTCTCTTGCAAAGCCGAAGATTCCCCCTGATCCTGGATGATGGGTGTAGTTTGGGAAGGGATGTGTGTTCTTATCTCTTCTCTCAAGTTATCATTTTCCCTTCTCAGAGCCGATAGCTCCAGTGCATCCTTCTCTTGCTCCTTCTTCATCTCCGTCATTTCTGCTTTAAGTTGCCTCAATACAGCTAAAATACTTTCATCTGTTCCTCCTTGCATCACAACTTCAGGTATTGGTTCATCTGGTGTGACACCCTCCAAATGTGGCCGAGAGGTTCCCCCTTGTTGAGCATGTCCTTCCTGCTGGCTTCTAGTAAGTACCATGATTAATCTGAAATATGAGGCTAATCGTGCCCCACGGTGGGCGCCAAAATGTTCCTGCAAAGGTAACATTGATCTTCAAGTCTCCGATCTGCTGTGATGACGTCTCCCTGGTATTCGCTGACGTAGGAAGGGTACCTGCAAAAGGCACTCCGATGCTGAAATCAGGATTCGGTTCTGAGTAATAAATGGTATTCAATAATGAAAAGTTTCCCTTTTACCTGTACTTTTACCTTCCTTATATAGGCACTGTAGTAGGCTAATGGGCCTACTAAGTCAGTATTGATCTTTGGCCCTTAAAATAAATAATATCTTGATTATTACCTTAATTAGTTTAATTACCTTTTAATCCTGACAAAAGATATTCGGCCACTTAGGCCGAATAGGTACTCGGTTTCCTTTTCCTACAAGTAGAACTGAGTTATTCCTTATCCAGTACAGTTAGTTTTTTTTAGATCATATATATATATATATATATATATATATATATATATTATAAAGAAATAATCTTATTATAAGTAATAAAAAAAATTTGAATATATTTATTTGGATTAAAGGATAAAAAATTAGGAAAAAAAAAGAAATATAAATAATGATGTATTTTTTATATAGTTGAAGAAAAACTTCAAAAAAAAAAAAATTTTCCTTTATTTTTCTGTAGCTTTTTATTTTTATTTTTTTGTTAAGCTTTATCAACCTCGTTCAATTTTCTGTAGCTGCAGGAAGAAACCATGTTATTGAATTTTTGACACTTTATTTTATTAATGCCTTCAAGAAGCATAAATATACATGTTTAGTTAATTTAACGTATAAATTTTTAAGAAAACTTTTAAAAATATATGTTTATGAAAACAGAAAAGTATTTTGCTTAAGGATAAAATATAGGTGATTTTTACATTGTCTTAAAGATTAAAAGGGCATTCGTAGAATAATATCATCATTAATATTATATTAAGTATGTATAAAATCCACCAAGTTTAGATGACCTTGATGTTGCCCACGTCAAAATAGCATTTGTTGTCAAATTGGTTTATGTTTGGTTAGTTTGCGTTGAAGAAAACATATGTTGACGTTGAATTAAGTACTAATTTGCTTCAGTTTATATTAAAAATTATTTACGAGTCTTGCATTAATCAATAAATTAATAATAATGTTTTATTAAAAATTAAATTGAAATGTATGAAAATTATAAAAATGAGTATTTGTTTATGCTTTTAATAAATTATTTTATTTCTTAATCAATGCTCTAAAAACATTTATTAGTATTTTTATTATTTATTAACTTAAAATAAGTGATTACTTTTTAAAGTTAAGTATTTCTAAATATGATAAGATAAAATAAAAAAATATGATAGAATAAATCCATCGAATATTTTTTTTTCAATGTATAATTTTATCCCGTAGAAAAAATATGAGTTAAAAATAGATAAAATAGAATAAAATAATATATTCAATTTAATGTTTTAATACACATTCAATACAAAAAAAATTATTCTATTTTTATCGTACCTTCATATCTTATAAAATTTTTATTCTATCTATCAAATAAATCATAAATTAATATATATATTTTTTAAATCAGATGTATTCTTCACTTAAAATAATCTTGTTGGAGTCGGGTGACTCTTCCTCCAAATAATAAATTACTAATATATTTAACGATAATACTTTAGTGTCCTTATTTAAAAAAAAAATTAGATAAAATTAATAATAAAAAATAGGTTTTAATTATTATATATAAAGAAAATATATATTCAAATTAATCTCGACCATAAATTTTATATTAAAACATATGACTATCTGGAAAATTAATTCTGGATGTAAATTAAAGTATTAAACAAACATTGCTTATTTATGTTGTACCACAACATTTTTAAGGACAGAAATATGTACTTTACATTATTTTCCTTTTCTATATGTAGTTCTTATTTGTTTTCAAACAGCAAAAGAAAACTAGCATTTTCTTTTCTATATATTAAACTCAAAGATGTTCTTATATTTTGTTTTACCAGTGTTATCTCTAAAAATAAATTTTACTTTCCAATGTAAAAATAAAAAATAATTCTGCTAGAGCTATTTTCAATATTATTTTTTTCAACACTATTTGCGGTTTGATCAATTCTTTTAGAGTTTTGCTAATCATTTATCGAAAGACATTAATTAAGGAATCAACAAATAAAAAAATTAAAAAGCATGCTAAAATATTATAAAAAATTTAGTGAAAATACACCGGTAAAATATTTTAATAAAATATATTTTAATATTTTAATTAATATTCTCAAAACACTAATTAGCATTTGACCCTCTTTTAACATTAAAAACTTATCAATCATTTCTTTTCTAATATACATGCGCTCATTTAGTTGCAAAATGATTGATGCAAGATCCCTTATAATCAAGTTCTCTCTCTCTCTCTCTTAAGGGGGGGCTACAATTTTGGTGATGAAAGACCCCTTATAATCAGTAATCCACATAAAAAAGTGCCCTTTAATCAGCAATATTAATAAGCTCAAGAAGATTGAAAATGTATAACTCTAATACTCCTTCACTCATTTTAGTCTCTCATCTTGTTGAGCCAACAACTGTTACAAAGCTTAAACTTGGGAATCACTTCATTAAATATTAAGTGGTATAAGTAACTATTGCGAATACCAATAAATATAAATAATAGTAATTAAGCTTACAGTTATTCCAATGAATAACCAATTTCTCTCGATGTTGTTGGATACAAAATCACTAAATACAACGGAGAAAATTAGTGTTCTTTGTACTCTATTCGCTGCATCAAAAATTGCCATAAACAATTTGTACAAACACGATTAGTATAACCATAAAACTACATAGGCACACGCACATTATAATACACACACATTCTTATCGTACCTTCAAAGCTTCAACCTTGATCTTATTTGAGCGATTTAGTTGAACTTGATGGAGCAGCATATCTAGCTGAAAATCTACGACATGAAGATTCTTCCTCATCGTCAAAACAACCATCATCAAAGTTTTGAGCATAGCTTAAAGGGTCATACCCAAAACCACCACCAATGGGTTTGTAATTGCTCGTTCTCTTTGTCCAAGGAAGCTTCAATTTGAGACACCCCCAACACGAAAACAAGCCCCCTTGTGTTGTGCTTCTAGGAGATGAACTTTTCTCCATTAATGAAAGTGTGTTTCATGGAACGAAAGTACAAAAGAGACTTCAATACCAATGGCTTTTACGAGGCCTGTTTCTTATTCACTACTTTTCTCTTTTGCTAGTGATTTTGAGTGTGTGGTAGAGAATAATGTAATTTAAGAATATAATGGTCAAAAGAATAACCGTGGGTTTGGGGTTAAAAGAGATTATATGAAAGTTGAAGAATATAAAAATTTGTCGTTTTGAATTGATTAGTTGTATGTAAAAGGAATCTCAGACTGCAATGGTACAGTAAGATTTTCATTCGGTGAGGAAAACACGGTGGGCTCAGCACAGTTTGCTTATGAATCAGGAAGTGAAAATTAACAGTTGACCAGAAACAGTTCATTTTCCATTCAATCATAGGCTAATAATGGAGGACCGAGGATAAAAAATAATTCCCATAAAAAAATTGTTAACAAGTGCGTTTGATAAATTATTTTTATTAAAAACTCTGATTAATAATGCATTGTATTATGATCTTTAATGTATTCTAAATATGATTTTAATAAATTATTTATTTATTAGTTTCTTAATCAATGTATATTGATTACTAATAAAATAATCTCGTATCCTTCTATTTTATCTTCTTATTAATTTTTTCAATATTTTATAAAGTAAATATTAAATAAAAAGAAAAATATTAAATACATTTACTTTTTCATTCAATAAGTTGGATGATTTGTAAAAGATATAGAAGGATTTAGAAATATCTTTCCACGTAAGAAAACCATATTTGAATTAGAAATATCCACATTATGGTGAGGCTAACCTTATCATATATTTTTTTTCATGGCGAGATTTGTTTTATGGAAAGAGCTAAAATTATCAATTCTAAAGAGCTTTGCATTTAAAATAATCTGAGTAAGATCTTAAAAAAATATTCATACAAATAGTATGCTACCTGTATAGTTATTAAGTGTGTTGATTATCAACGCATTTTCTTTCTAATGAAGCGTGGGCAAAAAGATCTAGAGTAGGTTTGGGGAGAGAATATTTGCAGGAGACACAACTTGTCCCTCAACGTAGTGGGCATTGTGATGTTTACGAAATTATCTTGTTCATGTGAATATGAATGGCACATTTCTTTTTTTTCAAAGCCTGTGCGAAAGTGAACGATTCATTAGCCCCACCTTTTCAATCGGTGTCCCAGGTATACTGGACGGCTAGCTCCAACTATTTCTACTATTTAAAAATCCATAGCAAAGTTTTTAAGAAAAGAAAATTGAGAATTTAGGTTATTTTAAGTGTAATGTGTACTTCGAATTATAGAAAAGTATATGAAGTTGAGAACAATCAAAGGTAAAATTGGGTTCTGATTTTAATACATGTATATAAGTAAAGAATATGATATTAACCAGACATAATGTGTTGCAAGAGTTTGTATGAATATAAAACTATACAATTTAAGCTATATAATAAATGGTTTATTGTATATAATATTTTAACTATAATTTATTGAAAGTTTTCATTAAATATTTTATTATATAATATATGTTTTTACTATAGTGTTGAGATAAAATCTCACGTTGATGTTAGTGGGTTAGAATCAAATAAAAAATTATATAAATAAGGTGACTTTAATATAAAATTGTATAATCTTTTTTTTTTTTTTAAGTAAATCTCTTCAGCTTAAATTCATTCACTTTTCTTTTCCTAAAATTGGATTCGGCATGTATACATAATCCTATTATAGTATCAAAATCTAAATCCAAAATAAAAATAAAAACTAAAAAAAAAGAGATTAAATAAATAATAATAATTAAACCAATGACATTGAAAAAAATATATTAAAAAAAGCACAAACTAATGCATTAATCAAATTGCTATATAACCAAATTAAAGACTATATAAAAAAGAAGCTTCAATTTAAATTTGTGTAAAATATTTTAGAGAAATATACTTCTCAAGCTTAAACTTATTTTTTACTCTTCTCTTCCTAAAATTAGACGGCCTATATTATATATAATATGCACATTATCTTACTTAATAATAAAATTTTAACTCTTTTGATAATTAGCTCTTTTAATTGCATATAACAAAATGTAAATAATGTTATAAATTGTTTTAAAAATGTCCTTTGAATTTTTATATTATTCTTTTTGTCCTTCAATTATATATGTCCTTTAGTTTTGCTAGTTTGCGTGAGAGAAAAAGTTTTGAATGACTTACCAAAAGTTTTCAAGCCAGTTTCTTTATTAATTGAGAAAATGTGTTCTATATTTTTGTTTTAACTTAAGTTTTGAAAAATAACTATTTTTATTTTTTAAAAGTTATTTCAAGAAGCTAGCCTAAAACAAAATGACAATTTTTTTTTAAATGACTTAAATTAAACATGCAAATGCTTATTTGAGCATGTGTTATTTTAATGATATATCTAATAATATGTAGAATTTACTATAGGTTATTTTATCTTTTGAAAGTAGTAGTTATAATATATATATATATATATATATATATATTTGTCATTTTATATTTGTTATATCAATTTTCATTTAACATTTATTATTTAAAAATGTATTTAAAACCAAATTTATTCTCAATAAGCTATTTCTAACAAGTACTTGTCGTTTAATAATAACTTTTGTTATTAGTTTTTTATAACAACATTAAAAATAGTCTATTTAATAAATCTGTTATAAATAATAAATATAAGTTAAATTATATTTTAAACATTTAAAGTAATTTTCATTAAGTAATTATATATCACAATATATAAAATAATAATAATAATATGTATTTCAATTTTTTATATGATAAAAACTTATACTAATATTTAAGTTAAAAATATTTATAATAAATATTAAAATTTAAAATAAATAATAAAACTTTATTTATAATACTGATTACACTTAGAAATTAAAAAAATAATTTTTATTCCATATTTATCATTTTATATTTAGTACATTAATGTGAATTTAAATTTATTCATTTTAAAATATATTCATAAAATAAATTTATTATAAATAACAATAATAAATAATAATATTTTTAGTACATATTTTAGTACGTAATTTAGATATTAAATTTATAAAAAAAATTATTTAATAATAACTTTTAATTAAATTTTATTAATATGAAAAGTCATTCATATTTTAAAAATATTGTAATTAATACATTTAATATTTTATTGGATTGATTGTGTGCACCATCTTTAAGTGACTCTTTTTTATATAGAAAAAAATTTAAATACCAAATAAATGAGATTTTGAAAAGAAAAATAATTTACGAGAATAAGGAAAAATTTTCAAAATGAAAATTTTTTGTACTTTAAATTTTTATAATTTTTTAAAAATTACTATTGTCGATTTTGGTAGTTTAATTTTTTTTATAATTTTTATCCATTCATCTCTAAATCTTTGTGTGCATAAAAAAAATTGTGATTTTTGAGTTTTTATAAAAAAATTGCTAACTGCTACAGTGACTCATACATCACGTTACTTCATTTTACTTTCAGCAGTTGTATCAATTTGCTTAAGGGTGTTTGGGGATTGATTTTAGAAGTTATGGTAATATTTATAAAAGTAAATAAAAGATTAACGCATTAGGTTTGTAATAATCTATCATTTTATTTCTTTTATTTTAAAAATTTGTGAAATTAAAAAATATTTATAATAAATGAATAGTTTTCCCTCCTTTTCCTTCCATCCAAAACAAAACATAACTTTCAGCATAATATCATAAAAGGTTGTTCGAGAATAGAAGTTTTGAAAAAGAAGAGAGGAAAGAGAAGGAATTTTTTTTTATATTTAAATAAATATATTTAAAATTATTATTATCTGTTAAATAAAAGATATTTATAAAATTAGGAAAATTTTAAATATTTATAAACTTTCCTCTCTTGGCTAAAAACTTTCAAACAAAAATTAACTATTATATAAATCTTTCCTTTCTCTTCAAAACAAACTCTCAAACAAAACTTAATAGATTGCTCAAGACAAAAAAATATGAATAACTAAATTGCTCATAAAATAATCAAAACACAACTTGAAGTACAGCAATTATCACCCAATATATCTTATTTGGTTAGATTTAAAACCTTTTCACTCTAGTCCCAAAAATGTTGCAGAAAGTGAATAGATCAATATACACGCTCAAGTAGCAGATACATACTTTAGAACTAAATATGCTGGGATAAAATTACATTTAACATTGACTTAAATTGGACTATCCACTCTCCCTAAAAATTTAAAATCTATAATAGATCAAGTAGCCAGTGGCCACTAAAAGAGGGGGGACAACAAAATCTGTGTGTATAAATAGTAAAAACCATTTAGTAGTACAACGAAAAAATGTACCCTACACCTCGAATGCCTTATATAAATATCATACAAATGATTTTATTGAAATTTTGGTTGTTGATAGAACTAAATGGGGATCAACCAAACCATGTGGCTGAATAGCTGACTCCACTTAACGGGATAAGATTTAGCTGTTGTTATATCCTACATCATGAATGCAACTTTTTTAACCAAACTTTTCTTCACCAGTCCTCTGGAGTACAATTCATTTAACAACCCCAAAGCCTCCTCAGCTAATCCTTCATCAGTAATGCCTTTTACAAGAATAGTATAGGTAGCCTCAGTAGGTGTACATCCTTTTGCCACCATATAAGCCAGAAAATCAATGGCACGACTGGTTTGCCTAGCTTTACATAGTCCCATCATTATTGAGTTGTAAGTGAATGCATTCGGCCTAATACCTAACCGTTCCAAGTAATGGAAAATTTTGATTGCTTCATGAACCTTTCCTTCACGACTAAGGCCCCCAACTACTGAAGTGTAAGTGATTATATCAGGCTTAATTCCCTTGCTGCACATCTCATCCAAGAGTTCTACAGCACGTTTGGTTTTTCCAACCTTTAAAAGCCCATCAATGATTATATTGTAAGTAAATATATCAGGTTTAAGACCTTTTCTGCACATCTCTTCAAAGAGTTCCACAGCACGCTCTGTTTTTCCAACCTTCAAAAGCCCATCAATCACTGTATTATATGTAACGAGAACAGGAGAGCACCCATTGGAACTTAGTTGGTTCAGTATCTCAATTGCATCATCCACCTTCCCGTTTTTGCATAATGCAGTTAGCAAAATATTATAGGTCACAATATTTGGGTAACAACCCCTAGATACCATTATTTCCAAGTACTCAATTGCTCTATCTATACTTTTTTCATTACAAAACCCTTGAATCAATGGATTGTAACTCCTGATATTAGGAGTAAAGCCATGCTTTGACATCATCTCCAAGATATTAACGGCTTTACCTAGTAAGCCTTTCTGGCACAAGAAATTAATCAAGATATTGAAAGTAACCACACTGGGGGAACACCCCTTACGAAACATGTTAGCCAATAGTTTCATAGCATCCATCCATCTTCCAACACTACACAAGCTACATAAAATAATATTGTGGGAAATTACATCAGGCTGACAACCATAGGATGGCAATTTCTTTATAAATCTAATTGCTTCGTCCAACCTTCCTACGTTGCAAAGCCCCTTTATAAGAACATTATATGTAACCACATCAGGTTTGCATCCTTTCCTCCTCATCTCATTCAATAGCTCCATTGCCCGACCAACTCCACATTCTTTACAAGCTGCATCAATCAATACAGTATATGTAACTACATCTGGGTAACACTTGCTTTGCAGTTGTCTGTTAAGTACTTTCATAGCTTGCTTCAAATTCCTTCTATCACACAAACTACGCAAAATTGTATCATAAGTAACGACATCTGGAGCAATGCTCATGCGATCCAAAACCAGCAAGGCTTCCTCTATCTCCCCTGATCTGCAATAACCACCAATCAAAACATTGTAATTTGTTACATCAATAACAGTTCCAGACTCCTCTAAAATTTCCATGACTTGAGTTGCATTCTTAGTCCTCCCCATCTTGCAAAACTCACGGATTAAAGCAGTGCAAGCAGTGACATCAGGGATATTGCCTTTCTTAGTCATATGCTTAAGAAACTTAAAACCTTCCTCCAATTCCCCATTTCTAATCAACATGTGGAGATGATGAATCTCAAACTCCTCAAAATTCAGGGAAGTATTGACCCCATTTGGCAAGGATTCCACCCCATTTAAATATCCTTTTGGAAATCTTTTAGAATATTGCAAATTACCATTAGAACCAGTAGAAGTTTCATGTTTCGAAACAGCGAAAATGCAATTGCCCAAATGCTTTCTAGACCAAATGCCATTAGGTTTTCTAAAGCTAATAACCCTAATTTCATTAGACAAGACAAACAAGTGGGATTTGGAGGGCATATTATATACCCTCACCAAATTGAAAGAAGAACCACTGTTATAGCTTTCTTGGTGGAAGTGTTCATATGAGCGAAATTGTTTATGGGGTACCACCAAGTCCATTTCTTTCACCAACTTCCAACACTTGCTACACAAACTCACATGCCACCAAATCCATTTTCACCAACTCCCATAACCTGAAAGATCAAAACCACGCATTTCATCAGTACACAAGTTAATATACCCAAAAGATTAATTAGGTTTAAAAATGAGGCAAGGAAACAAAAGAAGAGAATTTTGAATAGAATAACTAAGTTTCCTTTGTTCTCTAAGGCTGAAGGGTTTTCTCTAAGCCTAAGAGTATTTAGTTTCCTCCACAGTTAGAAGACAAGAACATACTCGACGTATAACTTATGCTAGAGACAAAATTTCATGCACAGTTAGGGTGCTCTTTTTTTTGCATTTTCAGTTGATATATTTTCATTAATCATTACAAAAGTAACACCTTGTTTTCACTTTTCACTTTGTTTCCTATTTCCAAAATCTGGGTGCATTGCATGAAGAACTAACATTACGTATGGAGTCTCCAAATTTTCCATCATTTCTTCAAGATTGTCATATTATTAGCTTGCATAAATATCTTTAACTTTTCAACAGCATATTGAGCCTTCTTCCAAAACTATGATTGATTAGATGGTTTGAAATTTACAAAAGTTGTTGGTTCAATTGATTGCCATTTTCCATAACAAAGCACAGAGTTTAAAGTCAAATTTCTCCAATTGACTTTAATTATCCTCGGGGGATTTTAGGAGATTTTTCCAAATGATCTGAAAGACCTAGGGAAAGAAACCAAAGCTCCACCAATGCTACCAAGCAAGATAATTCTTTCCATTTAACTTTTCTACGGTAATTCGTGGAGTTCCAAAAACTGCATACCAAATAGGACCAAGGGTAGATGAATTAGTCAAGTAGATACTTGCTCACGTCAATGTGCATACACAGGGTATGAAATAATGAATTGTATCAGAAAATCAAGCCTAGGTTGAAAGGTTTAAAGCAATATGAAATCTGCACAAGTTTGAGGAAATGATTATAGAGAGAAAATGAAGGCCAGCAACTAGTCTCAAGGAGAACAAATACTAGGAAGATGGCATATGAGTTTCATGTGCCAACAAGAGAAGATGTGCATAACAATGCATGAGATTTACAACAACAGAAATTTGTGGTATGCCAGTTGATGGTCTCTGGGCAGTCCAGTGATTTCCTTTGCAGAACAGATAGGATGATATGTCTGATTCTTCTCTTTTGATGGGTTTGAACCAAAGAGAATTTATGAGAAATTTGGGAATGACAATATTTAACAGAAGACTTTTGAGAGAATTAGGATCTGCTGGGACAGAAGGCAGAATCCAGGAACTATGAATAGAAGCAGGACATCAAGACTGTGCAGCATGTGCTCACACTAATACCAACTTAAGAATGAATTTCAAGAGAGATTTCTATGAATTGCTTGGGTGCTTTTCAGTCAGCATACTGATATTTAAATGCATGGACAATTAAATACAACTTATATTTACAAATTAAAAGAGTAATGAAGAGCTAGACAATTCTCTAATATCCTAATGTTCTTAATGCTTCATAAATATTTATTCTTTCCAAATAAAAAATAACTATTTTTTATCATTTCCTACAATCCACAGTAATCAAATAAAGCCTAAATGTTTTCTTGAACACAGTTAAAAGCCAATAACATAATACTGGTCCAACTTGAGGGAAAATTTCATCCACAGCAACTACTATTATCTGAGTAATCTCAATCACTTGATTAATATGGTCTTACAGATGTTATAAGAGGTCAAGGCAATTAATAATTATAAACTAAAGTGGAGCTAGTTCATTCAGCCCTTGTCACCAATATGTAAACAAAGGGATGAATCCAAGTATTTTCATTTATCAAATACTTACGAAGTACTTTCGACAAAACAAAAGCCACAAATAAACCAAAAGAAAGACATTTCATATGCCTTATCCTCTATGCATACTTGAAACTGTAGGAAATGCACAGAAAGAATGGCATTTCAATATCATAAACCCCAATAACCCATATTGACAAAATAGACAGAAAAAAGGTTAAAGAAGGAAGAAACTCAGGTGAATCTATGAATTGAAGAGAAATTATATAAGCAAATCAAGCATCAGTATCCTGTTGAAGCATCTTATGAAGTTTTATTTATATATGTGACCATAAGTGCAACAATTAAAACAGGTATGATCCGTTTACATCAATAAAACCTGCAACAACATCATCAACGATGATCAAAAGCCAAATAAAAACGAGTCGATAGACACAATACAACATCAAAGGAAACAACTCCATATACCTACTTAGCTACCCATTTATCAAATCTGAACTGAACTTCTAACAGTAAACAATTCTATAAATCAAATAAAAAAATTATAAACAACAGAGTTAAATAGAGAAATTCGAATTCATGGTTATCAAGAGGAAAAACACAACATTTTCAAAACAGAAATCCATGCCAAAAGAATCACCCTCACTTCCCCGCACTCGCCCAATCACCCTCATGCCAAAAGAAACCTTAAAGTTCTCTAATCACTGTGAAAAATAGAACTAATAACTCTGACAAAAAAAATGAGGCGAATGCGATTGTGCTTATAAATAGAGAAAGTAAGGGAGAGAGATATGAAACCTAAGGTGGAGAAACGGCGTCTTACCAGTGGGTGAAGAGGAAACAAACTCTACGGCAAGTCCGCGACGTAGGTATCAGTAGCAATGATGCACTGTTCTTTGGCCAGGTCTGCTTGGTGTGCTTGGAGCGGGATAAAATGAAGGGAAAAAATTAAGAACTGGAAAAGTACAGTAAAAATAAAATATTTTTTTTTTGAAAGGATAAAAATAAAAAAAATCAATTATTTATATGAGTACAATTTTAAATTGTAACGCTTTTCATAAAAAATATTTGAATTTTTTATAATGTAAAAATATTTAATAATATAATAAATTTTAAAAAAATCCCATCTCTTCTCCGGTTCTTAATTTAGGGAATTTTTTTTATAAAACTTAAATATAATCTTGATATTTTAAATCAAAATTATAGTTTAATTTTGATGATATATATTAACATTAATTATTATTCTTTTATTAAAATAAATTTTAATTAAAAAGCATAAAAAATTAAAAAAAATTGTATTTAAGTTGTTTTAGTGAATACTAGTTGTAAATCGTAGAAATTACAAAGTTCTTAATTTTTTAAAAAATAAAATTATATTAAAACTCTTTTTATACTAATAAATTGTTATGTGATTCTAATTATTATGTGTATTTTTTTATAAATTATAAAATTTTTATATAAAATTGATTAGTCTATATTTTGACATACTTTTATACTTTATATATTTATGTGTAGTTATTATTTTAATTAAATTTTACAATAATTTATATATTAATTATACAAGTTTAACATAGAAAAAAGCTACAATTGAATTTTATATGTATTTTGAGCAAAATTGATTGAAAAATAAGATTTCACATTAGTCAACACGAGGTTAAACTAGCTTTTTCAATAATAATTTTTATGTTCATAGATATTAAGCTTGCACTATTTTAATTAATTATCATTAATTATCTATTGTGACTAAACATACTTAGTGAATTTCTATGTTAACTAACTAATTAATTATGCATATGATTATATGACAATGTGAAAAAATTTATTTGGTATTTAATTTTGCTCACAATTAATATTACTGATAAGTATGTATAAGAATTACTTTCCTAATTTATAAATCATAAGTAAAATTTAGTCTATCACAAATTCAACCAAAGAAATTATGGTTCATAATAAATACGACAATTGTCTATGTTGTGTGAAAAATATATAAGTAGTCATGTATAATTGTAATGTAGTCTCAGTTCTTCTTTGCAAACAAGACAAGTTCTACATCTATCATTTCTTCTATTTTTAAGTTTCAATTATGAGTCATTCCACTTCACTTGTATGTCATTGTAGATAAAGATGAGGGAGGGATAGATTATCCCGTTGTGTAATTAATTTTTTTTCTTTTATTTATTATTTTCAATTCTTTAAAAATTACAATAATGTAGCCCTAATTTTCACAATTCATTAATCCTTACTCTATAGGTACACCTCAAAGAATAAGGACATAAACATACATCTTATATAAGGAAGCTAATTATTAGTTGGTTCTATGTAATCTTTCTTTTTACCATTTTATTAATTTTCTTGTATAACTGTATGGGTAGTATTGACTCTCTTGATTCCATATAACAAATTTAGTTAGAAATAGTTATGTATAGTATATTATATATATAGTACTTATTTCTTGTAATTTTAAGAAAGAGATATACAATTTTTTTGAAAAGACTTCTGAGTTTCTTTTTTTCTCTTAAGTCTTATTATTTGTTATGATATTATTAGAGCTCTGGTTACTATATTCAACATGAATAAATTTCATAATACTGATCTATCACGAGATCTCACCTTTCCATATTACCTCAATGTATTAGAAAAAGCATATCTTATTATTACTCCTAACCTTCTTGAAGGATCAAACAATCATCAATGGTCTCTATTAGTTCATATGAGTCTTGTTTCCAAAAACAAGCTTAGCTTTGTTGATGGAACTATTGAAGCACTTAGCCGCACCAACTCTTTATATCCCACATAGGAGAGAGCTAACATAATGATTGTCTCTTGGCTTCTTACATCTTTATTAACAAGCATTATTCAGAGTGTTATCTGGATGGAGAATGCCTCACATATATGAAATCATCTTAAAGAGAGATTCTCTTAAGGAGATATGCTTCGTATTGCAGATTTGCAGGATTTGATTTATTCTTTCAAGCAAAGAGATCTCAATGTTACATATTATTTTATCGAGTTAAAAATTATTTGGGATGAACTTGATTTTTTTTGTTTTTTACCAACTTGTACCTATGCTATTAGATGCTTGTGCAATGCTTCTACTAATATTAGCAAGTATAAGATCCAAGGCTGAGTCATTAAGTTCCTTAAGGGATTCAATGATAATTATTCCATTGTGAAGACACAAAATCTTGTTAATGGATCCTAGAGAGGAAGATATTTGGTGATACATCAAACCAATCAAAATTGATGGTTGTTACTAGGAGAGGAAATTTTAAAAGAAATGTTGGTCGCTGCTCTGACTTTGCTAGTTTTGGAAGAAGGAACATCTCTCAAACTAAAAAAAAAATTTGGTCAAGGAAATTGTGCAAAAATATGCAATCACTATGGAAAATTAGGGCACACTTTTGATTCATGTTATAAGAAACATGTTTTCCTACTACACTTTAAATTTAAGAATCATAATCAAGAGCAAACTCATGCTAATGGTGTTTTTCATAATGATGATCCTAATATTGATCAAAAGTTACTTAAAGTCTCAAAGGAAATGTGCCGCTCCAACAACTTTGCTTGACTACGGAGCAATATCAAGGAATATTTGCCCTCTTTTAAGAGTCATAATCCAACAACAATAATATCTCCAATCAAGTCTTTGTAATTCCATCTTCTTCTACACCCTCGACTCATAATGTAATCCTTTCTCATCTTTTAGTTCTTGAATCCTTAATATTAGTGCCATAGACAACATATATTCATGTATCTTTTCTTTCACTTCCTTTCATCAAATAAAACCAATTCATGTCAAATTAATAAATGGAAATGAAGTCATTGCTAATCATTCTGGTAGTGTCTTTTTAACTCAAAATCATGTAATACATATGTTCTTTACATTCCTTGTTTCTCTTTCAATTTATTGTCCATAGTTAAAGTAACTGTCAATGTGTCTTACATTCTCACTTTTGATGTCACTCATTGTCATATTCAAGACAAGAATTCATTGAAGATGATTGGTTTAGCTAACGTGCATGATAGACTTTACATACTTAAGGTGCCTTCTCATCAAACACTTCAATGCATCAAGATTTCAAAGCTTTCATCACATATTGTAAACCTATTAATTTTACCTCTAATGATCATGAAACTCTGTGGTGCTTTCGTCTTAGACATATTTTGAATAAATGTGTTAATATTATAAAAAGTGAATTTCCTTTTGTCAAACATGACAAGTTTTATGTTTGTGATATTTGCCATTATGCTAAACAAAAAAAACTTCTCTTTTCCATTAACATTTCTAAATCAGAAAAATGTTTTGACAACATACATGTTGATCATTAGGGACCATATTCTATACTTTCCATTCATTGATATAAATACTTTCTCATCATTGTAGATGATTATTCACAATATACTTAGATTTTTCTTTTGAAACAAAAGTCTGAAACAATAAATATTTTACAGCATTTTGTGACTTTAGTCCAAACACATTTCAATTAACTATAAAGGTTATTAGAAGCGATAATGGAACTGAGTTTTTTATTAGTGATTTTGATGCTATCAAAAGGAATAATCTATTAGACATCATATGTAAATACACTACAACAAAACAATATAGTTGAAAGGAAATACATACACTTACTGAGTGTAGCACAAGCTCTGATGTTATAGTTCAATTTGCCAGTCATATGTTATATTGCATGTTGTACATATCATTAATATGCTTCTACACCTATTTTAAAATACTCTTCTTCACATAAAATTCTTTATAAAAATCAACCTGATTTTTCCTAATTAAAGGTCTTTGGATCCTTATGCTTTGCTAATACTTCACTTGTACATAGAACCAAATTTGATCCATGTGCTTGTAAATGTATTTTTCTTAGATTTAAAGGTGGAACCAAATGATATATTTTATTGAATACTCACACCACAAAACTATTTATGTCCAGAGATGTTATTTTTCATGAACATATTTTTTCATATTATAAATATGATATCAACATAAGTAAAATTAGCAATCCTATTATGATCAACAATGACCAATACCAAAATCTTTTTGCTTACGAAGTTGATCATCAACTCCCCATTAACCATTCTCATATGGAACAACCATTATCATCTCTTTATAATAACACAAACAATACCCTTATTTCTGATGTAAAAATCCTACAAAAACTTGAATTTCATATAAATGAAAATCTTGAAGATCAACCTATTCACCAAAGCATTAAACAAGGAGGCACCATGGTTATTTAAAAGACTACCATTGTAATCTTAAAATTGTAAATAACTCTTCTCATACTATATATCATTTATCTTATGTTATGTCTTATAATTCCTTGTCTCCTACTTATTCCTCTTTTGTCATGTCTTTATCTTCACAAGTTAAGCTAAGGACATACTTGGAAGTAATAAAACATGATTGTTGGAGGAAGTAATTCAGTCTGAGTTATCTGCTTTGGAGTTAAATCAAACGTGAGTAAATACAAATCTACCAAAAGATAAAGTTCCCATCGACTGTAAGTGGATCTTCAAAGTAAAATACCGATTTGATGGAACCATTGAGAGGCATAAAGCCATATCGGTGGCAAAAGGGTACGTCCAAATCAAAGGAATTGATTATCTTGATATGTTTTCTCCGGTTGCCAAAATGACAATAGTAAGGTTACTCTTATCTCTGGTCTCTATTTTTTATTAGGCACTTCAACCATTAGATATAAATAATGCACTTTTACATGGAGAATTAAAGGAGAATGTCTATATGGTTGCACCACCTGGTCTAAAATCCATTCTTCCAGGGCAAGTTTGCAAGCTTTAAAAGGCATTGTATGATCTCAAGC